GAGAGAGAGAGAGAGAGAGACAAACTAGTTTTGTTACTCTCTGTAAAAATTGATACCAGTTATATTGTTGTGATCTATATCAGCAGATTTCTCAGATGACTCAGAGTTCGAGATTGAATATGAACGGCTATCCAATGGCTCTGCAGAACCATGGGATCACATGGAAAACTCATCAGCTTCCTTTAACACCCCAACTGAATTGTCGGTCTCAAGAGAACTAATAAACGAAGTTGGTAGTGAGTTACAAGTCCGCTCCTTAACCGATGAGGCTAAGGTTGAGTCCTTGACTGCAACAGGAGGCCTAATTTCTAAACAAGAAGAACCAGCTAATAGGGAGGCTGAAAACTCTAGTTCTAAACAAGAAGAGACAATTATTAAGGAGGCTGAAGACTCTAATTTTAATCAAGAAGAGCCAGGAATTATGGTGACTGATGATCCTCTGTCTAAACAAGAAGACTCGGTTATGAGAGAGACTGAAGATCCTCATTATAGACAAGAACCTGTTATTAGGGAGGTTGAAAATGGTAATTCAGAGGAAATCATAGAGGGTGGTAGGGATGAGAATTTGGAGCAATTGATGTGTGAGATTAGTCATATGCGTGAGAATTTGAGGTTGATGCCTGATTTTCAGCGGAGGGAGATGGCTGCAAAGCTGGCCATGAAAATGGCTGCAATGTTTGATGATGGAGATGAGGATGACTCTGACTGATGCCAGTGGCGGGATAGATACTGAGAAGTGGTAATTAGATAGGCGAAGTATAATTTGAGGCCTGTCCATTTGAGAAAAGGATTCCAAGGTATTTGAACCTTTGGGTTAAACCAGATGCCTCCCTCTTCTGCCATGCCCCCCCCAACGTCCCCCTCTATTTCTCTCTCTCTCTCTCTTACGCACAGGTTACTGACAAGTCTGGGAGGTTGTGTTCAACTTTCTTAGTGTCCTTTTATTAAGAATTTCATGAGTGAAGTACATTTTCTATGCCATCTGTTGTAGATTTTCTTGGAGGGCAGATGTTGCCAATTATCTTGTGAAGTACAGCATGTTTGGAGGCCTCATGACTGAAACAACGAAGAGAGAGAGAGAGAGAGAGAGAGAGAGAGAGATTGTGTGTGTGTGAAAGAGAGAGATGTTAATAGTCATTTTTCAATAAGTCAGTTTGATTAGGTACCAAAGCAGCAGGCAAGGAATCTTTATGCAACAAGAGCATGAAATATTGATTGATTTATAGCCTCCCCATGCAAACTGATGCGGTAGGCTGGGCTTTCTTTCTTTTAGAGTTGAACGCCATTTTTGTAGATCAGGGATGGGATGTATTGTTGCACCTCTACTGATTTTATTGCAGGGTTATATTCCTCTTTAGTTTTTCAAACAGGTTCGGGTGAAATTGATCTACACTATTGAATACAATTAGACAATTCAGATGTGAGAGGCCCAGCCTCAATGCATAGAATATATAGAGCATTTATGGGAGCCCTTCCTCGATCTAGTACATGCAACTTTGGAATTTTTTGTCCATATTTGCATTTTTACACAAAATAGTACAAATTAACGCCAAATATACTAAGAATAACTAGGTAATAGCCCAAATCTCTCTCTTAAAAACAGTAAATGTAAAGTTACGGGCTCAAATGCTTGACTTCGAAATTTAAAATCAAACTCAGCAAACAAAACAATCTTGGCATACCTATACTTCACATAGAAAAGCAAAAAAGAACAGAACTCATTTACAACAAATCCAAGCAGCATCTCTGCATTTGAATTAATCTTCTCGACTATACAGTCCCCTTTGAATGATCACCACATCACAGGAAGTACACAACCATCGACTGAAAACTTTTCCTTCTGTTCTTAGGGTCTTAGGGGAGTAGCTCCTTTGTGGAGTTTGTTGGTGATGTCCTATTCTCAAATGTTGATTGGGGTTCCTCTGGGTTAAGATTATCAGGGCTTGGGTTATCAATTAGGCTCTGTTCTTGTTGCTCTTGTAGCCGACCAGATGGTTTAAAAGGCCTCTCGAGTTCTCGGATGGAGCCAGTTTCTATTGTCATGGAGTTCAACTTTTGTTCCTGATAGGCACAGATTGATCAAAGTCAAGCCTTAGCACAATATGTGTATTGCCTGCAACTTCTAAAACTCTCGCTCTCTCTCTCACACACACACACACGTGCGTGCACGCAACCTCGCACAAACACAGTTATTTATATATATGCAAAGTACGGAGACAAGGAGTTTGAAGATCAAGTCAGGATCAGACATAGAGCACACTTAGATAGGCGAATATGTGAATGTATTTGATCATGCGTGAATAAATAGATATGTGGGCGATACTTGCAGCAGTAAATTTAAGTGAACAGAAGTATATCCACTTATATAACTAATTTGTGAAGTTTATCTACACAATATTTTATAACCATATCCAACCAAAGGTGACTATAACAGATTCAGCACTACCTGGCAGAAGAAATAGCAGATAACTTTTTCTACTCCAACATTTCTCTATATATACTGGCAATTGTCAAGTAGGACATCCCTTGTATTTGATTACCCGGGAGTTCCTTACCATTGGATTAGAGACCTAATAGCTGGTGGAATGGCGTTTATGCCACTACCAAATAACTCCCATAGATTCTGTAAGGTGGGTTACTCCAATCTTTCTCTGTGTGTGTGTGTGTGTGCGTGTGTCAGGTGGAATAAATATATAAATAAATAAATCCCTATCAACGCAGCAATTAGAACAACAATCAAATACGCATGTACACATGAATATACATGTGCACATTGATGCATATATGTACCGATACAATACATGTTGACATGTACCATTTTTGTCCTGAAAATGAGGTTCAATATCCATCAGACAAGAAAATTTAAATTATGTAAGACAGGAATCATGCAAGCTTCTTCAAATCAATTAGGTAAACCAGTTGGACACTTCAAAGAAACATATATTGATCCACAGAATGGAGAGGAAATTAACCTCATCTGTCAAAAATTTATTGGACAATGACAAGAAACTTGGTGCAAACTTCAATTTCTATCAGCATCCATGATTTAATTTTTTAATAGTCTTTAGTGTAGGCGGCCATTTATCAGATTTTAAATTCAACCCAATTCACAATTGGTTCAGAACTTGACCATACCTCCTAAATCTTTCGTAATACTTTCTATTATAGTGTAAATCATGTTATGCAATATCTGGTAAAAAATCAACAAATTTGGTTGTGCAAATTGCCATAGAAGCAAATGGAATCCTGAAATTATAATTCCATTACGCTTATCAAGCAAGACAAAATCCATTTGTTAGGGAATTCTACAAACAATCATGGCATGCAACGTACCTCCATACTTACATTTTGTAGCATCTCCAGCTTTCTTTGCAGTGCTTCATGCTCTGCTTTGATACGAAATGGAACACCATGTTTCTGGTTGACATTTTTTTGTGCCAAGTCTTCATCAATGTCATTGACAGTAGTTGCAAAAGGATGATTTGCAGGGATCCATCTCACTGTATCAGGGTCAACATCAGGTGGAATGGGTTCTCCTTCTTTAAGGAAAAGAGTTGGTCTCTTCCACTGATATGCACGCATTCTCCTTTTCTGATGACTTTTTTGTTGCTCTGTGGTAAGGGTTACAGGGGCCAAGCGATAAACCTTTCCGAACATATTGACAGTGGAGTTGCCCTTCCCAACTCTCACCAATGGGTTGTTAAAAGGGTCATCATATATGAGAGGCTTTGATCTGTGAAAAATTACACAAAGCTTTGTCACTGAAGAGTTCCAACAATTGTAGCTTCGAAAGCAGTGTCTGCGAAATTAGAGCTCAGTCTGGGTAAATTTCAGTTTAAGATATTGCATTAGGCTACATTAACATAACTTTAGAATGGTCACTTATTTACTCATTTTCCTTCTGAAAAAATAAAAAAAGATTAACATCTGTTTTTTCAAGTTGCAAGCCCACAATCACAGAGCTCTATAGAGAAATCAAAACAACATGCAGCAGTTGTATCAATAGAACCATAGGTAATAAGTAATTAAGGAGGAGGAACTGGCAGTTGCATCATCCAACTAGGAGAGAACTTTTAATCAAAATTTAGAAATATAAAACTTCTTACTCATTCATGGGACAGGATTATCTCCTTTATCTGATTAACATGTTTCACAAGTCGAAAGGTTGATCCAATGCTATATTTACAGATATCAAAAAATAGAAGCAGTCAATCAAACAATTGGCAAAGAATTTGACTTTCCAAGAGGAAACTCCTTAAAGAAAAGAAACATGCCTGGAGACTGGAAGATAACGAAGAGATCAATAGACACAACAAAAGAAACTCAGTGTCAAAGTTAGTGAAAGTAAAATAAAAGAGTATCATAAATTCACAATCAACTAATGATATGAGCTCCACAATTAAACTCAGGCAGAAGGCATCAAGGATGAGCATTTGCAACCAAGGAAGAAATGACAGAAAAAACATACATGCCTCTTCTATCGGATCGGATCTGTCCACGCTTTACAAGATCAGCCACAGATCCACGGTGTTTGGAACCAACTTTCATGACCAAAAATGCTCGAAGGATATTCACAATGATTGTAATGAGAACACCCAAACCTATTGCATCCATTGTGATCCCACTTTTCAACTGCACGAACCACAAACCTTGGCATACATAGTAATATGAACTTTTAACATGTTCCTAACAGAAACATACCCAGAAAGCACAACACATACAACAAATCATAGTAAAAAGTATCACAGGACAAGACATCTGTTCAGTCCATTTAGGGAATTACAGATACTGTGTCAACCTATATACTAAACCAAGATTGTCAGTAAGACAGTATATTCCAGAAAGTAGGAAACAGAGATAGTAATATCTTAGAAAGATAATACCCTCACAAACTTACAGAAAACGTTAATCCTATCCCATTAATAAACTGCATGAAGGAAAACATAAGGGTCTCAAAATTCTCAGTTCATAATAACAACAAAAATATATCAATTTCAAACGAGTTTACAATGCAATCAAGTTATGATATTATGAAAAAAAAAGATAAAGGCATTCAATTATTATGTCTGTGACAGCTCATATGTTGCATTATATCCCCATCAGACAATCCTCTCTCATCTCAACACAGTATAAGTTTAGACAAATGAGGAAGAAAAGCATCAATACGATGCCTATTTCAAGCAAATTTAGCTTTACGTAGTATATTCAAGTAACATATTGACTACCCCACAGAGTTTCACAAAGTTACCAAGGACTTTACTATCAGCATTAATATGTTGAAGCTTGAGGTGAAGCTAAAACTATTTGTAGATAGAAATATGAAATTCATTGTGAATTGACTCTTAATTATGCACATTTAGCCAATGAGGGTGTAATCCGAAAGTTTCTCTGTCCATTTCATGAGAGGGACTTCTTTGCAGTAGGAGTTGTGCCACTGGGATGATATCTTGTTGTCTCCTTGGTTTCAATCTCTTTGACTATGTTTGTTTAGATCAGTGAAATTTTTGACATTGATAAAAAAAACTGTACCAACACAATCGTTTCCACTGCATTATGATCACCTTGTGAACCGAGTGAATCAGAAGAAATAGTATAAATAGCAATGAGAACATCTAGTTTAAATTTTGAAATAGCTAAAATGCAAGTTCTCTGCTCTTAGTCTAGACTCTGGACCAATATTCAAAATAAATACAATTCCAATGCTTATTGATTGAAAAATATCCAAGATAAAGGCCCACTTTGCACTGAAATTGCCATATACGCATTCACATCTAAAATTTTCTGTTAAACCCTTTGTAAGCTTGGGATTGTAACTGAAGTTCTAAAATTAAAAATAAAAATGTTAATTGACTCCTCAAATCATTTAAAGCCATTACAAATCAAGCCACAATCATATTTCAAACCATGATGGTCAATGTCAGTCACTAGAAATGAAAAAGAACGCAACTTTGTGCAAGGGCCAACCACCAGCACAACAAAACGTTGTGATTTCAATTCTAGCAGTACTTACTGCTTCAAATAAATACAGTTTCATATCCTTCATTTAATTCACTACTGAATCTCTAGAATCACATTTAACCAATCAAACAGAAACAAAATAACGGAAAATTGCAAGAAGGTGTACAAAAACATACCTTCCAATTTGGAGGAGGCATATTGTTTATCACTCCTTGCAATGCTTCAATCACTTTAGATTCAGTTAAAGCTCTCTTCCATGGCTCTCTGTTCTGGTTATCATCAGGCCTCGAAATATCACCACTAGCCCTCACAAAAAACCCCAAGTTCCACTTATGACAACGCCTTCCTATACATACAAGCTCAGAAAAATATTTTGCCCGGTATTTCCAGCCAACAAAACCCATTCTTTGCTCAAAACATGAGTAACGATACTTGCCGAGAAATCTCCACGAATTTCCATGATCACAAGCTCCAGGCTGAAAAATGAATCACATTTGAAGAAATTAGGGCAAAACATAGCCAAATGTTGAGAAAAGAAATGGACAATGAACACAGAGATGAGGGTTTACCGATGAAAAACTGGAACTACGATGCAGTAGAGAAATGACAGTGGAAATGGACGCCATTATCGTGTATCATCTCATCACGCAGAATAATTAGGGTCAGGTTTTGAAAAAAACGCATAAGAGTGTAGGTTGAAAGCAATTCTCAGTATAACTCGCCCTCTTTCTTAATAGCGTTTAAGCTGTTGCAAGTTATACTTCATGCTTGGACCATGGTCGTAACTTCTTATGTGCAATATAATATAGAAACCGAAACTTAAGAAGTGTAAAGTTAAGTAAAAATCGAAAATCTCCAAAGATGTTGAAATAAAGGGCAAATCAGTATGTTAAAAATCACATATCCAAATTGAAATCGGCTTATCTGGATCAGGAATGGATGGGCAACCTAGTTTTTGTTGAAATCTAGGAATCGACCGGCGGGGGACCGGTTGTCTATGTGAGGGAATTGGGCAAATCTATGATTTACATTGGAAACAATCGGTCAGATCACCGATCTGGATCGACAAATTTAGATTGATTTACATAGAAAACAATCGGTCATATCACCGATCTGGATCGACAAATTTAGATTGGTTTCCTAGATGGCTAGTTCACTAAGCCGATGGGGTTTTAAAACATGGACAAGCTTTTTATGTTTTCCCTAAAACATAAAACTTATATAACTCCCCTTATTCAACCGTCCATTATGAATGGACGGCTAAGATGGCTCCAATCACAATATGATGTCTTTACATGATTTTATTTTTAATTTTTTTTACAAAATATTTCAACACTAAGTTTTGGGTATCCAATCCTCTCTTAAACTTGCACTTGTAAAAAATATAAAACAAATATTTTCAATAAAAATAAAATAACCAAAATACCCCTAAAAGTTTTAAGGGTTATTTTAGTCATTATATTTTATCGAAAAAATATTTTCAATATTATTTTTAGGTACGTTCTAATGAGAAGATGGCCCGTACCAAGTTTCATATTCATACAATTTGTATAAAAAAATAAAAAAGAATATTCTGATGCATCATATCTAGATCAAACGGTGGCTGGCTCATTTGATTAAAATTGGACAGCTGGATGGTAAGAGAAACATAGAAGAGAGGTATAGAAACCTTTCCCTTAAAACATTGGGGGAAATATTTGATCTACCCATACAGTTGGTGATAGGCAGGGCTTGGGCTAGGCCCTAATTTCATAAAGGTTGCTTGAGCTCGGTTCATGCTATAGGGGCTAAAGGCGCCCGGGCCATGGCCTTGTCTCGGCTAGGCACCCGTTTAAGGGCCTAATAATTCAATCCCATTATCAGGAACCAACCCTCTTCTCTCTAAAATGCATTATTCCCCTTCAGTGTTTGATGATTCAAAACACTGAACAAATATGCTATAGGTGGGGAAGATACTTTATTTAAATTTTGTTTTCTTTTCTCCTTTTCGAGGGGATGGACGATTCAGCCATTCTGGATCAGTATAGTGGGGAGCTAATCCATTAAGGTTGTCTGTGTTTTTAAAAAAATCTCTCCCCCCCCTCTCCTAAGCAGTGATTTAAAAAATATCTTATCAATACGGAATCGTCCGGTCTGATATGGGAATTGGTACCCCTTACTGATTCTTTCAATATATAGGAAATTGTCCGGGTCTAGAAAAAAACGGGCAAATTACTACATTAAAAATGCCGATTCATTAATCCGGACCAGTTTTTTTGTCGATTAACTAATTTTGCACGTGCTTTTTCGCTAGTTAATTATTTCTCCGCACAGTAAAACAACAATCTGGACCGTTGATTCACCAATCTGAACCGCTTTTATGATGCCCGTTTTTAAAATAATTGCTGCTGAGTGAATTAGCTCTCCATTGCACTATCCAGGTCATCCAAATCAAGCCATTTGTGTTTACTCAAATTGTCAAACAAATATATTGTACATGCTCCCCCTCGAGTTGATTATATCTCCTTTGTACCATGCAGATCATCCAAATCAGGTCATCTGTGTTGATTTAAATCATTCAATGTTCCGCGACTCCCCGAGTCGAATTACACTTAGGCCAGTTACTCGGACTTGCCCTATAGGTGAGGCCAAGTAGGGTGTACACCCTACATTACTCGGACTTCGAACCCCTGAAGCACCACACTACCCTAATGCATATATTTTTTTATGTGCCCATGTTCAAACCCCTTCAAACACCACCGCACCACCCTATCTTTAAATGCATTTTTTAGGGGAAGGCTTTCTATGTGACCACACCCACATATTTACAGGATATGTGACCTTTCAGCGATCAGATCTGAGTTGATGGCTTGAGTCATAATGTCACAATTTGATTTATAATCGTCAGATCTTGATAGGACTGCTTAGAGTTTTTTATTTTTTATTTTTATTCTATAAATAATTTTAAAAAAAACTTTGGGATATGCATGGATCTAATAGGGGCGCACATGATAAAAATAATATTAAAATATTTTCAAAGAGCAAAATTATCAGAATACCTCTAAAAATTTCAGAGGTATTTTGGTTATTTATTTTTATAGAAAATATTTATTTTTTATTTTTCTTAGGTACACCATAATTTATTGATAGGACGCCCAAAATTTCATCCCAAAATATTTTATAAAAAAAATAAAAACTAAAACAGTATTTTGCATGACATTGGGTATGAACAATAGTAGCTGCTTGAGTTGAGAGGGCACACCGTCTAACTAGAGGCCACGGTAAGCTTGTCACAAGAAGATATATTTTACGGGTGCGTTTTCTACGAGGTTTCAACTTTAAACAATCCAATTAAGGCGCACCTTAAAATTTTATCATAACATGTAATTTTGTTGTAAAACATTCTTAATA